TGACATACTTTGGACATGTTGCTAGGAGGGACAGGTCCTTGGAGAGGGACATCATGCTTGGGAGGGTTGAGGGACAGCACAGGAGGGGAAGACCCTCTATGAGATGGATTGATTCGGTGACTGGGGTAATTGGGATGGGTGTGTCAAAGGCAGTGCGGTTGGTGCAGGATAGAGCAGGGTTTAGGGCTGTTGTGCATAGGGTCGCTATGAGTCGCAAATGACTCGATGGCACATAACAACAATAACAACATGATGGAATTGATAAATTGGAGAGGAACAGGGTCACATTCATTGTCAAAAAGAACATTTCAGCATTTGTCCTAAAGGACAGTGCTGTAAATGATAGTTCATAAACTTATAGGAAGATCAGTCAATATGAATGATACTGAGATTCATATACCAATCAGTAATGCCCAACTTAAGAACATGAAACATTTTTTGCTAACTTCTGCAGTCTGAAATTGATCAAACATGCTTGTGATTGGAATGAGCAAGTTGGAAGCAGAACTGATAGTCACAAAACTTGGCTTTGATAATAGAATTGACATTGGATATTACATGATAGGATCTTGTTAGACCAACAAGTTATTCATTGCAAATACCTGTTTTCAGCAACATAAGTGGTATCAATTCATGTGTGCATCAATGCATGGAGTCAAATTGAATATATCTGTGGTTAGAGCTAAAAGAATACCTTGTTAGGACAATAGGAATAAATTAATTATTATTCAATTAGTGTGACATGCAGATAAAACAACCTTGCTAGCTGAAAAGTGAGGAGGATTTTCAAGTGCTTGCTGATGAAGGTGAAAGACTAATCTTACAGTATGTAACGGTTACACCAGATATTTTTATAGGGCAATGCCTTCATACTCAGGCCAGATCATTGTAATGTTGTTGAAATACTCTTAGAGCATGAAAAGAAAGAAAATAACTCTTGAATTAGTGAAAGGAATGCAATTAGAACGGAACATTGTTCCTTTTTAAAATTCTCGATCATTTAGTTTTATATCCTTTTATATATGATATTTGATAAGTTTGTTATTCCTCCCTCCATTTGAAGGAAGAGATTATCTCATATATTGTTTAACTTTAATAAAATAAACTTAGAATTTTGTCCTTTTTATATTAATATTTTCTTAATTAAAATAGTCCATTTTATGAAAAATTGTTCAGTTCACAGGATATTGGCCGAATTCAATAGGAGAAACATAATTTGGAACAAGGAGATGACTGCAGTTACATTGGTCATTTGTTCTCAGTTAAGAAAATTGCCTGGCTGGCTGGTCTGCATTGGATCAGCAGGACCAGAATCCTCAGAGAATGGAAAGGCTCCAGTCTTCCCTGATCTTTTTTTTAAATTGAGATTTTAATGTTTATAACAAACTTGGATTTTCATTCGTTGTTGCACATTGCGTTTTATTCTTTTTTGAAGTACATTATCTAAATTTCCATTCTGTTTAGTTTGAATTTGTAGTAATGTGTATAAAATGTACCTGTTTGTTTTTTTTTTTTGATAAACAAATAATTACAGATGAATTATTGGTATATATGATGGTATGGATGGATATAAAAAAAACAACAACAACAAAACCCAAAACCACAAAGCCAACCAACCACACAATCAGTTACACTGAGTGAAAGAAGGACACAAACTTAAAGTTCTATTTATACAAAAGTCTAGAAAACTCTAGAGACATCTTGCGCATCTCTGCTGAGTGGATTCTTA